TGCAAACATAAATTCTTTTTATAGGTTATCTTACTGCTAAGATTCTCTAAATCTAAATGCATATTAATTGCATTTTAATATCATAAATTATAAATCTAGCTTAGCTACTAGAATAAGTATATTGTCTGTATTTATTCGATTTTGAGCGGATTACAAGAATATTTTAGGATTCAATATATATTTTACAAACCCTCAAGATAAATTGTATGACCAGAGTGCGCAAACTCTCTTTTGGAAAAGAAGCCGACTTGCGCCTTCTATTTCTGATACGAGATAGAAGTGAACTAAAATCGGTCACGTGACAATAAGTGGGAAGTTGACCATAGAATTTCTATTCTAGGGTATATTGATTCGTAATCTATCAGCGTTTTTGAATGAACGGGTTTTAACCTTAGGCCCTGCGCACAATAGAGAAAATATTAGGAATAGGAATAAAATATTAAATATCAGGAGGAGCAATTTGAAATTATTTTACTTCAAACAAGGAAACGGAATGAATTAATTATTTCTAATTTTTATTTTTTTATTTCATTATGCGTTAATCCATTCCGTTCCGTTGTTTGAAGTAAAATAATTCCAAATTGCTTCTCCTGATATTTAATATTTTATTCCTATTCCGAATATTTTCTCTATTGTGCGCAGGGCCTAAAATAGACTGTTTTAGTCGTAACAGTTAGATCGTAAGCAAATTGACCAATCACGGTCAAGCATTCTTACATACGAGAACTGACAATTAAGTTCGTAGAAAATATTTATTACAATTACAGTACACATTTATTCGTTATCTAATACACGGTCCCTTTTAAAATAGCCCCTTTCTAAAGCAATGCACTTGGTCCAATGTTTTTTCTATTGCAGAAAACAAAGTCTTCAAAATTTTAAATATTTTTTTTTCTAAATTATATATTACTATAAAATTGTATAATGTAATTATTTATAATTTCAAAACAAAAATTTTTTTTTTTTAATAATTAGTTTTTGGAAATAACAAGAGTAAATATATTTTGTTAGAAATTAATTGTTATCTTATTAAAATGCTCACATTTTAATGCATTTGATCTATGAAGATTCTAAAGGACAACATTGTAAAGGAGATAATATATATTTTTTGTATATTGTTACGGCACTCCAATAATATTCACATTACTAAAGTTCGAAGAAAACTTAGATACGCCAGACTTGTTTTGAGTACCTAATAAAAAGTTACATTAATAATACTTTTTATTCTGATTTAGTTTATTAACTATAGTTTCTTATTAAAAGAATATATACGAAGAAAGCAAAAATACTTCAAATAATTTTGGGATATTGATTTATTTCATTTACAACTATATCGAAATAGGAATTAAAATTTTGCATAAATATCATATACACAATTCCTTACACTTCCAAAGGTCGCTAGCGATAAATCTATCATCCTGCCAGCGCTGATCTTTATGGGACGGCTTGACATAGCGATCACCAGCACTAAACTACGAATTGCCTTTACTGGCAGTTGATACCAATCGATCATAAAGCACGTCGTACCAATCTGACTACTCTGAAATATTCGCGGAAAAATTCAATATATCTTGCATTTCATGCATTTTTGCTATACATCAGCTTCATGCTCATGAAAATATCGAAATTAAATTAAAATTGTTACATAAAATCGAAAAAAATAAATGTACCTTTGCCATGAGTAGCTCGCCAATGTAACATAATATATACATATTAAAGCAGAATGAAATAAAGAGCAGAAAGTAAGTTGTCAGTCCAACTGTATCACTATCTTGCCAATCCTATCGAATTATAAGCAACAAATATAATTTTATAAGATTTTTCGCGCGTGTTAAGAGAAAATTATTTCTTTTTGATATGTATATTAGCGCACCACTATGCAATAATATTCGGGCAAGCACATTGTGAATATAGAACTAGCGAATTCCAATAAACATACTTCTTGTAGGATTTCGTTCACGAGAGCGCAGAATCTGAAACAGATCGTCATGGTTTGCAAGTTAAAAATTTTATATGCCATTATCATTTTTACCACCATTTTAACCACATAAATATATACAATCCTGTTTAATAAAAAATTAAAGAATTAAATTTTACGCACTTTTCTGCAATTATTTGAATACGTAATGAGTATATACAATAGTTCGTTCCATAGGTTTTCGAATAACCGTCAATAGCTAGAAGATAGAAGTGAACTAAAATCGGTCACGTGACAATAAATGGGAAGTTGACCATAGAATCTCTATTCTATACTCTATCCAAAAAAAGAATGATCTCGGTTCGCGCATAAGCGGGCAAAGTGGGGAGAACATGGCGAGATACTCAATACCGTATACGTAGATACGGCTCCCTTATTATTATTAATAATTATTAATAATAATAATTAATAATTTTTTCATCATTGTTTACCTGGCCTCGTTTATTTTTCTTCACAGGAGATGACATTAGTGGCACTGCAATATTCAATTCTTTAACTGGTTTATTTCAAAACCTATGGAGCGAACTACAATCACTTTGATCTCATTTGAAAGATAATTTAATTCTCTACAACTTTTGTTTCGGTACTTTTTGTTAAAAGACGCATACTTTCCCTGATATTTGTAAAAATGTAATAAATAACCGTGATTTCAGAGGTTTCTGGGCGCTAACTTTTTAAGGAAGCATTTTTTGACCCATGTTTATAGGAAACTTTTTGTTCGGTATTAAATTATCTTTCAAATGAGATCAAAGTTATTGTAGTTCGTTCCATAGGTTTTCGAATAACCGTCAATAGCCGAAAAAACACTTTTCGGTACATTTGAAATTGATTATAAACTAGTTTATTTTAAAACCTATGGAGCGAACTACAATCACTTTGATCTCATTTGAAAGATAATTTAATTCCGAACAAAAAGTTTCTTATATACATGAGTCGAAAAATGCTTCCTTAAATAGTTAGCGCCCAAAAACCTCTGAAATCACGGTTATTTTTTACATTTTTACAAATATCAGGGAAAGTATACGTCTTTTAACAAAAAGTACTGAAACAAAAGTTGTAGAGAATTAAATTATTGTTCAAATGAGATAAAAGTTATTGTATTGGGTTGAACGGAAAGTTCGTGCCGTTTTTTCTGTCTTCATCTCTTAGTAAAAAACGGAACCAATTTTCCGTTCAACCCAATATAAAAGTTATGCATTTAAGTGCATGAGGATGCAATCTCTCATATCCACAGTCTGCGCATAATCCGTCAGACATGCAACTCACCGCTCCCTAAAATACATTGGAGGTTCATTAAATATACTTGTTGCATTTGCTCGTCATTTGCCCTTATTGTGCAGTAGGTAATAAAAAATGTTTATGCATGTATGTATATGTATGTACATATATAAAATATGGAAAACTTCTTTACACACGAGAACTGAAAAATGGCCTTATTTTATTTTTTTTTATTATTTTGAACGTTACTATAATTATCAAGACTTTTTTTGAAACATATGCAAAATTTTAGATTAATTTGAGAAAGAGAGAGAAATAGGAGTTTATCAATTATATTGAAATCTTGAAAAAAAAATACGCTTTCTTAATTTCATAGCGTAGATGTTACCTTAATATTCGAACGTGACCACTCACGATGGCAGCGATTCGTTGATTAACATCCGATGATCGGTCAAAATTTTTGCCGCGCGGAAGATCTTCAAGTCGGGACGCGATGATATCAATTTGGCCACACGCATGAGTAGCAAATATTGCAGCTAGTCCGCACGATCCGGCCGTGACCGAATACATGGTGTATCCACAAACGCAATGAGCCAGATATACTATTTCATATATCGGGCTCATCTGGGTCTGATAAAACTCACTGTAAGTTGGATACACGAGTGGTCTGATGGTTTCGTTACCGACTTTATGTACAGTGCAAAATGGCAGAATCGTATGATAAATAAAGCCGGCGATGTACATGGAAGTCGTGCTGATTATAGACAGCCTACGACCAGTGGTAGCATATTTCATCATCAATTCTCGATCGGAGTTGAACTTGACCTGTCACAGTATTGCCAGTAATCCTATTTGCCGGGAGAATTAATGACAGTGAACACTATTTATTGCAAATTATGAGATGACTAGAAAACATTCGAAAACGAAATTACGAGATTTGCTTTAGTGTATCAGATTGATGAATACGGAAAAATATATGACTTTTAATTTAAATCCTGTCGTTGCATAAAATGCGGATTTATATATCTAGCTACTACAATGCGTAGCTTCGTGTGTTAAAATAATTATTGAAATCATATTCTTAATATTTTTCTTAATATTCTTAATAACTTTGACAAGAGAGAAAAGAAAATTATAATTAACATTAACCAAATTAAATGTAGAAATAAAATGGCTAGATATAAAATAAATATATTGCAATTATATAAAATAAATAGACTGATATTTATGCAGAGATTGAAAAATATTGCTCGAAAAATAGCATTATTTCAAACGGTTTCTGGTGAAACTCGTATTCTTCCAGTCTCGAAAAAAAGAAATCAGCTATCACTTCTCAACGGTTTGCGATAAATTCTATTTATTAACATCTTGCAGCATTTTATATATCGACAACACCGACCTGCCACCAGTCACTCTTCACGTGTTCGATGCAACGTAATATTTTAGACCGACGTATCGCGAGAACGCAGTACTTCATCATTGCGGTGAGGCAGAAGCCCAGTAGTCCGGAGAGCTTCAATCTTATATTAAGATCCTTCTCGTCATAAATGATGTGCAGAATACACGGCACTATCGCGAAGCCTAACGCGAAATTACACAGCACGAGCGCGATCTTAGGCACGTATTGTCCGATTCCGCGGAACGCGACTGGCCAGATGCCAATCGAGCCGAAGATCCAGCTGCACGGCTTGAAGACATATCTCATGTCCTGCTGATAATTAACGTTTGGCGACGTCGCCTGGTTGTCTTCTGAATTCCTCATGTTCACGTTGACAGGTTCCGTTTAAGACTGCACGAGGCCAGCGCGTAGCATTGATTGCAAGGTCGCTGGACACGCGCTTGCGCTCGCGTCGCAGGCATCCTTTCATCTGCTGTCAGTCTGACAGATCGTGTGTGTATTAACCACGAAGTGGTCGTGCAGGATGTACCTTACATCCCAGTGATTCCAAACCGAAAAATCACTTCCGTTTTTCTGTCTAAATTCATCTCTGCATTGTTCGTTCTATTTATTTTTCGACAAATCAAATAACTTGACATAAAATTGTGGTAAAATTATGAAAATTGTGTGTGTAACATTGGCGTAATATGATTCTGTATAATATAATATTATATGTACTAAACATTATACAAGTATACTACATATTTATACTATATAGCAGCTACTGAGAAAAAATTATATAGCGCAGCTATTATTCTCGGGTCACATATGTGAGTCAGTTTGAAAAAGATAATATAATATATGAAGGAAGAATCTCTTCCCCCTCATCTCTTTCTACACATTACACATGTTTACTTGGTAGGAAGACATCGAAGCATTAACAAATTACATAAGAATTTCGTCGCAAGGAAGAACGAGAATAACATCACTGTGCTTCGTGTGATCCTTGTCTGACGTTATTGTCTTATGCTCTCTTAAATGCAAAATAATCTTTCTGTATATCTGTAATTTTAATTATGTTTACGTTACTAACATTTACATTAATTTACATTACTAACATTCGTAGCAAATTGATGGCCACGCTAGTTTTCGGTGCCTAAAAAAATATGCTGAAATAATACAATTTTCAAAATTTTTCTGCTGTAATTTAATTTTTTACTTGCCTTCGAATAAAATCTATTTTTAAATTCTGATATAAGCTACTATTAAATATAATTTTTGGAATATTAATTTATTCTTTATAAAATCACTATTTTTATAAAATCGCACGAAGCACGATGATGTTACTCCTGTTTTTCCTTGCGACGAAATTCTTATGTAATTTGTTAATGCTCCGATGTCTCCCTATCAAGTAAATATATATAGTGTGTTAGAAAGAGATGGGGGGGGGGGGCGGGGGAATTCTTTCTTCACACATTATATTATTTTTTTTAAACTGGCTCACCCGACTATGTGACCCGAGAATAATAGCTGCACTCATTGCACTAGTTAAAATAAAATTATCAATAGCTGTTGTATAGTATAAATATATAACATATTCAATTGTAGACTAATATACAATAGTGCATAGTCCGCGCATCATCTGATGCGCATCGGTACCGCCTACTGATTCGTACGGAACCACCTGTTGCACTTGTCGTTCTGTTACATTCCTTAAATATGTAATGAAAAGATAATATTTAAACAATTTATATAAATGAAATTATGCAGCAGTTAATTTTTTCAATACACAATATTAAATTAGAAATAATTTAAAAGAATTTCTTTGCTAAATAAATGTTCGAGTTAGCGCTATACAAAGACAATTATAAATTTATCGGCTTAGCAATATATTGTTTTTTTATAATCAGAAATTTAATATGAATAAAGAAGAAATTTTTATTTTTTTAACCACAATTCGAATTATTTTTAAATTAAAATCAGAAATGCGTATCTTTTTTCACTCAAACTATTTCTTAATACTTAATACGTCATTATGAATATTACACACTAAAGTAAAACATTTTTTTATATCGGGTTCTTTGTATACACATTTAAATTATCATGTGTTATATAAAAAATAAAAAAAAAAATATCAAACGTGTTTTTGTGATGGATATATGTACAATGCAACAACAATTATTAGGAGAAGGAAAATGAATATGTGAATGTCTATAATTCTGACGCAATATTATTTTTATGTAATATATAAATTTTCTACGTTTTTTAAATAGATTAGCAAGATATTAGAAATCTAAAATACTTTTATACATATCTCAATTTTAATTGTATTTATATTACTAACTTTCGTAGAAAACTGAGATATGCCACAGTAGTTTTCAATACCTGAAAAACATATTTAAATAATAATATTTTTTTAATTATATATTGTAATTTTTTGTGTATTTTCCAGAATTTATTACTAAATTATTGTGTAAGATAATACTATTAAATAATTTTGGGAATATTAATTTTTTTTGGTATTATAATTTATTTTACATTTTTGTGAAAATAAGTTTAAGAGAAGATAGAATAATAATGTAAATGTTATTAATGTCTTACATTTACAAAAGTCATCAATGACAGATCTACTATTCTACCGGCACTGATTTTAATGGGATGGCTGGCCATAGCGATTATCAATATAATACTGCGAGCTGATTTTGGCGATAATTGGTACCAATTAATCATATAGCATATATATCTAATTTGACTGCTCTGCAACATTAACTCCAAACAATTAAACACACGTAATTGAAATTAAGCATTGCATGATTAAAGAAACGAAAGTGTACCTTTTCCATGAGAAGCTGGCCGATATAGCATAATATATATACGTTGAAACAGAATGAAACAAAGATCAGAAAATAAGTCGCTAAACCAATCCTATCATCACCTTGCCAATCCTATTAAATCGTAAGCAGCAAATATAATTTTATAGGAGCTTTTATTAAGAATTCTTTATTTTTTATAGTATATTTGTTAGCGCACCACTATACAATAGTATTCGAGCAGACAGATTATGCATACAGAACTACTGAGTTCTACTAAACATACTTCTTGCAAAATTTCCTCCACCACAGCAGCAAACCTAGAATAAATCATCTTAGTTTGTATTTGATACCTCAACGCGTTGCCTTGTTTATTCTCACTATATATCACTCAAATGGAAAATTCAAGAAATAGAATAATTAGTTTTTTTAATGATATATATGATTTTGGTTTTAGAAATACTTTCATATTGCAACTGTATTTATTTTTGAGAAAACTAAAGTTTAGAAAAAATGAAGTATTTTACTAATTAATCATGTTTATATTGTAGTTGTGAGAGTAGCGCCGTATGTAAAAACGAATTGTTTTAGTTACTTGTAATTAAATGATTAAAAATATTTTTGTTTGAAATTTAAAATTATTAAAATTTTTAACTGTAATTTTTAATTTTTTAAATCAGTAAATTGTTGTATAGAGAGGTAAGCTGTTATTTTGAATTGTTACCTTACTACTCGAACATGGCTTTTCACGATGGCAGCAATTCGTCGATGAACATTTGGACTTTGCTCGAAATTTTTACCATCTACAAGATCTTTCAATCGCGACAGAATCACTTGAATCTGACCACATGCATGAGTGACGAACAAGGCGGCCAATCCGCACGCACTAGCTGTCACCGAATATATGGTGTATCCGCACATGCAATGAGCTATATACACAATTTCGTATACCGGACTAATTTGGAATTGGCGAAATTTACTATAAATCGGAAACACGAGCGGTCTGACAGTTTGATTGTTGATTTTGTGCTCGGAACAAAACGGCAAAATCAAATAATAAATGAAAGCAGAAGTGTACATAATTGATGTGGCGATTATCGTTAGATTGCGACCAGTGGCAGCATACTTCAACATTTGTTCGCGATCAGATCTGAACGTCACCTGTCACAATATTGCCGTTATTTGTCGTTAAATAAGAGATTGCGACATTCTATCAATTTAGCAATCTTTCAATTGGCTTTCCTGTCTTAATTAAAATTTTAGTTTACAATGTAGAAAGAGAATAAAATTTTATATTTCTTTTTTTAAGCGTATTTGAAATTTTTATTCTAAAATATTATATTAAAAAATTCAGAGTTATATTAAATATAATTATTATATTATGAAAAATTTCGCACAAAATAGGCACACTTTGTAAACAATTATGAGGATCATATAGTAGATCTTGATTTATCAGTATATCGAATAATTTTTAAATAAACATCACATATTCGCGCTTTTTTCACACAAACTATTTGTCAATATATTATTATAAACAAATTAGCACCATACATTATGTTAATTAATGATAACACCGACCTGCCACCAATCATTCTTCACATGTTCGATGCAATACAATATCTTAGGACGACGTATCGTGAGAAAGCAATATTTCGTCATCGCGGTAAGGCAAAATGTCAACAAGCCGAATAGTTTAAGTCTTATAGTGATGTCTTTTTGATCGTAGACAATATGCAGTGCACAGGGCACCATCGCGAAGCTTATTATGAAATTACAGAACACGATCAAGATCTTAAATGCATATCTTCCGATGCCGCGGGTCGTGAATGGCAAGATGCCGATTGTGTATAGAATCCAGTTATTCAGCTTGAGAACGTATTGAATATCTCGCTGATAGTTGGAGTTCTGTGGCATTGCAGATTCACGTGCATTTGACATGTTCGCGATGACAAGTATTGTTAAAGACTGAATGCGCGACATTGATCGCAAGCCCATCGGATATGCTGCGCTTGCGCTTACTATTAGACGTTCTTTAGATTAGACGTTCTGTTGATAGTCTAACAAATTGTGTGCCTGTTATTAATCGAGAGGTGATCGTGCATGGTGTATTTTATTCTAGCTATCAGTATATCGAATAATTTTTAAATAAACATCACATATTCGCGCTTTTTTTACACAAACTATTTGTCAATATATTATTATAAACACTGCAAATTAGCACCATACATTATGTTAATTAATGATAACACCGACCTGCCACCAATCATTCTTCACATGTTCGATGCAATACAATATCTTAGGACGACGTATCGTGAGAAAGCAATATTTCGTCATCGCGGTAAGGCAAAATGTCAACAAGCCGAATAGTTTAAGTCTTATAGTGATGTCTTTTTGATCGTAGACAATATGCAGTGCACAGGGCACCATCGCGAAGCTTATTATGAAATTACAGAACACGATCAAGATCTTAAATGCATATCTTCCGATGCCGCGGGTCGTGAATGGCAAGATGCCGATTGTGTATAGAATCCAGTTATTCAGCTTGAGAACGTATTGAATATCTCGCTGATAGTTGGAGTTCTGTGGCATTGCAGATTCACGTGCATTTGACATGTTCGCGATGACAAGTATTGTTAAAGACTGAATGCGCGACATTGATCGCAAGCCCATCGGATATGCTGCGCTTGCGCTTACTATTAGACGTTCTTTAGATTAGACGTTCTGTTGATAGTCTAACAAATTGTGTGCCTGTTATTAATCGAGAGGTGATCGTGCATGGTGTATTTTATTCTAGCAATTCTATAAATGGAACAAAAACACTTCCACGGTTTTGCACATATTTACATGAATTTAATTATTTAAGAAATGAAATAAATAGATCTATAAACTAATTTTTTTAAATCAGAAAAAAATTATATATTTTGACATTTTGTGATTTTATTTAAATGTCAAGATTAAATTACTTGTTTACATTCTTTATATAAAAAATAATAAGAAGATTGAAATCGTTTATTTGATGCATATATCGTTCAATGAAAATGATTAATCGAGAAAAGAAAGTGGATATATAAACATTAAATAGCGCATATGTTATTTTATATAATATTATTTATATACCAAGATATCTTCTATATGTTGAATAGGTAAGCCATATTAAATTTAAAATAATCTCTTTGTATATCTGTCTCACATAATTTCAATCATATCTTACATTATTAACGCCCGGAGGAAGCTCAGATATGCTACACTGGTTTTTAATACCTAAACAAATCAAACTAAATCAATATTTTTTCAGCTATAATTTATTACTTTTTTGAAATTTATTTAAAAATGTTAAAGTTGCTAAATATGAAAAAATGAAATTCACTGCTATATTATTACGCAAAAATGCATAATAATTTTTGTTTCTGTTAAATAATTCTGTTATATAAATTATTTTGTGAATATTATTTTTTATGGAATTATTATCTTATTCCAAATTTGAACGTGTATATAGATTTTAAACTAAAATTATAACGCATTAATGTGTTATATTTAAAGTGCCTCACATTTCCAAAAGTTAATAATGATAGATCTACCATTCTACCGGCACTAATTTTTATGGGATGACTGGCCATAGCGATCATTAATATAAGGCTGCGGGCTGATTTTGGCGATAATTGATACCAATCTATCGTATAGCATATCAATCCAATTTGACTGCTCTGCAAACAAATCAACCGCAAACGATTATTCAACATGCGGTTGAAATTAAGCAAATTACATGATTAAAGAAACGAAGATATACCTTTTCCATAAGAAGCTCACCAATATAGCATAATATGTATACATTGAAACAGAACGAAACAAGGAGCAAAGAATAAGTCGCTAAGCCAATTCTATCATCTTCTTGCCAATCCTGTCAAATTGTAGATAACAAATATAATTTTACAGGATCTTTTAACAGTATTTTTTTTTAATGTGGCACATATTAGCGCACCAGTATACAGTAGTATTCGAGCAGACATATCGTGCATACAGAACTAGTGAATTCCACCAAACACACTTCTTGTAAAACTTCCTCTACAATGGCCGCAAATCTAAAATAAATTAATCGCTCTGCTTTTGCACGGAGAAATTTAAAGAAATTTGGATGTGTTATTCCGCGCGCGTCCAGCCTTACTTTAATATAATATATTCAACTACTATGTTACGTATACATAGCATAATGTAAACAGATATACATATAATAGCGCATGCTTATTATCTGATACGAAACACAACCGCCTACAGAACGTATTGGCTGCCCGTTAAGACCAGCTGTTGCATTTGTCTCTTTATTATATCCGTCATACAAAGAATTAACTGGATTATATCATTGAGGATATGCAACAATGTTATTATATAACAATCTTTTTCGTTGTGAGATTAAATTAGGAATAGTAATATCATTTCTTTTTGCTAAATTATACTTATGTTTATAGAATTGTAAAGAGCACTATATAAAAACAAAATAGTATAAATAGTTCGTCGTAAAATATATTTTTTATTATTCATAATTTAGGCTATAAATTATTAAATTTCTTATCTTTAGTTTTTATTTTTCTGCTTGAATTATTTTAATAAGTTATTACTTTAAAATGTTACCTTATTACTCGAACATGATTTTTTACAATGGCAGCAATTCGTTGATGAACATTCGTTGGGCCTTGCTTGAATTTTTCACCATCTAACAGATCTTCCAATCGCGATATAATCATTTGGATCTGTCCACATGCGTGAGTAGCAAATAGGGCTGCCAATCCGCACGCACCAGCTGTTACCGAATATATGGTGTATCCGCACATGCAATGAGCTACATACACAATTTCGTATATCGGGCTAATTTGAGACTGGCGAAATTTACTATAAGTCGGATACACGAGTGGTCTGATGGTTTGATTGTTAACTTTATGCTCGGAACAGAACGGCAGAATCATGTGATAAATGACGCCGGCTGTGTACATGAAAGATGCGCCGATTATCGTTAAATTGCGACCGGTGGCAGCATACTTCAGCATCATTTTACGATCACTTCTAAGTGTCACCTGTCACAGTATTGCCAGCAACTTTATTTATCGATAGACGAAAAATTACTACTAATTTCGCACTCTGTTTAGCGATTACTTTTTTCTTTTTAAATCGAAATTTTAACAGCAATGTAGATAGAAAGAAAACCTTAATTGTTTCACCGCACATTTTTAATTTTCATTGCTCACTATTATTATTTAAATATAACATACACAATTTTTTACTCTATGTTATAATATATTACACGAAATAATTACCTCGTTTTTAAACAACAGTAGGAATTATATAATCAACTCGAAAGAATCAAACTATTTTACAATTAATATTATCTTATTCGTGCATTTTTCTTGTTACTCAAAGCATTTTTCAGTACTTTATAATAAATTCCGCACATTAATGCAATGTTATGTTAAGCATAAATAACACCGACCTGCCACCAATCGCTCTTCACATATTCGATGCAGCGCAGTATTTTAGGGCGACGTATCGCGAGAATGCAGTACTTCGTCATGGCGGTAAGACAAAATGCCAGTAAACCAAACAGTTTAAGTCTTAGAGTGATATCTTTCTCGTCATAAACGATATGCAGGGCGCAGGGCACTATCGCGAAAGCTAATGCGAGATTACAGAGCGCGATCGCAATCGTAGATGCATGTTGTCTGATTCCCTGGGTCGCTACTGGCCAAATACCAAGCGAACCTAGGATCCAGTTATTCAGTTTAAAAATATATCGAATATCTTGCTGATAGCTAAAGTTCTGCGATACCGCGGGTTCGTCGCGGAGTGCACTTATCATGTTTGCAATGACAAGTTCCACTTAAGACTAGACAAGGCAGACGCGGCGACATTGATTACAAAGTTGCGCTTGCGCTTGCGTTGCAAGCGTTCCTTCGTTCTTTCGTTTCCCGATTGTCTAAGAGATCGCATATATGCTATTAACCGAGAAGAATGGTCATGCAAAGTATATTTCATTCTGACAAAATTTAATTTAAATGTATTTCAATGATTAATAAAAAAAATGAAAGTAAGTTAATAAAAGTGAGAAAGAGTAAGTAATTTTTGGATTCTTCTATTAACATAGTATTATATGCATTAAAATTGATATATTTAAATCACTTTATATATATATCACATAATTTCTATAAATTTCTGATATATGTCATATAATTCGATTATACAATATTTACATCACTAACGTCCGCAGGAAGCTCAGATATGCCACGCTAGTCTTTAATACCTAGAACAATTATATTTTTATAAAATAATATGATCTTTTTTTCACAACAGTAATTTAGTTTTTTTTTTGCAATTTTATCTAAATATCAAAATTGTTAAATATGACAAAATAATTGTGTTAGATTATTATGCAAAGGCGGTATAAAATAATGTTTGGAATATTAATTTATTTTCCATATAATTATATTATTTAATTACTTTGAAAAATAATTTTAGATTCCAAACTAGGATTATATGTAATGTATAAATGTTATCTATAATATTTCATACACACACATTTCCAAAAGTTGGTAATGATAAATCTACCATTCTACCAGCACTGATTTTTATGGGATGGCTCGCCATAGCGATTATCAATATAAGACTGCGAGCTGATTTTGGCGATAATTGGTACCAATTAATCATATAACATATATATCCAATTTGACTGCTCTGTAATATTAATCGCGAACAATTATTCAATATGCGGTCAAAATTAAGTTGCATAATCATAGAATAAAAATGTACCTTTTCCACGAGAAGCTCGCCGATGTAACATAATATGTATACATTGAAACAGAAAGAAACAAGGAGCAGAAAATAAGTTGCTAAACTAAGTTTATTATCTTGTTGCCAATCCTATTAAATTGTAAATAGAAAATATAATTTTACGTGGATTTTTCTTATACATTATTGGTTATTTTTTTATATATATACATTAGCGCACCACTATACAGTAGTATTCGAGCAGACATATCGTGCATACAGAACTAGTCAACTCTACTAAACATACTTCTTGTAAAACTTCTTCCACAACAATTGCAAACCTGGAATAATTTACTCTAGTTTATACGAAGAAAATAGATGCATTGCTTCAATCATTCTTACTGTGATATAACTCTATGTATTTTTTCTCTTTCTTTCTTTCTTTCTCTTTCAACTTCTATACGGTATAAGTACGTAGTATATATAATCATTTGCACACGATATATATAATATCGCATGCTTATAGCCTATGTATTGTCTAACATGAAACAGAACTGCTTAACGTATTGGAGGTTTCTTGAGACCACCTGTTGCTCCTTTATTACTTTGTTATACATATCTATTATACTATAAAGTGATAGAAATTAGCAAATTATATGAACAAAGTATTTTGTAATAATGTTAACTTTTTCATTTTGTTATCAGAATTATTTCTTTTCGCTAAATTAACTATGTTTACTGACTTGTTGACGGAGTGTTATATATACTCGTGTATAATTTTTTATGATTTATAATTTAAGCTAAATTATCAAATTTTTTTATCTATGTTTTTTTTATTCATGAATTATTACGAATATTAATAAGTTGTTATTTAAAAATCTTACCTTATTACTCGAACATGATCCTTCACGATGGAAGCAATTCGTTGATGAATTTTCGAGCTTTGCTTGAACCTTTCACCATTTAGGAGATCTTCTAATCGTGATACGATTACTTCGATCTGGCCGCATGCATGAGTGGCGAATAAGGCGGCAAGTCCGTACGCACCAGCTGTCACCGAGTATATGGTGTATCCGCACATGCAATGAGCTACATACACAATTTCATATACCGGGCTAATTTGAGAGTGGCGAAATTTGCTGTAAATTGGATACACTAGCGGTCTGATGGTTTGATTGTTGACTTTGTGCTCGGAAAAAAATGGAATCAAAATCATGTAATAAATGATGCCGGCAGTGTACATGAATGATGCTCCGATAATCGTTAGATTGCGACCAATGGTAGCGTACTTCAGCATCACTTCGCGATCAGATCTGAACGTCACCTGTCACAATATTGCCAATAATTTTTTTATCAAATAAAGAATTATTATTTACGAATTTAGCAATGTAGCAGTAGCTTTTCTCTCTGTAAATCGAACGCCAGCTTTATTGTGTACATAGAAAAAAGAATTTAATTAACCGCACATTCCACTTCTATTATTTTATATTATATTAATATAACAATTATTACGCTATAATAAAATTGCACGAAATGGATGCACTTTTAAATTAACAATAAAAGCATCATGTTCGAAAGATATAATTATTTAATTACATGCATGCTAATTATGAATTTACGGGTGAACTCAAACCTTTTTTTTAATACGTTGTAATGCATTCTGCGCATTGATATATTACTTTATATTAACGACAATACCAACCTGCCACCAGTCGCTTTTCACATATTCGATGCAACGCAGTATCTTAGGTCGACGTATCGCGAGGATGCAGTATTTTGTCATTGCGGTGAGACAAAAGGCCAAAAGGCCGCATAGCTTCAGTCTCATGATGATATCCTTTTCGTCGTAAATGATATGCAAGGCGCACGGCACTAACGCGAAGCTAAATGCGAGATTGCAGATCGCGATCGCAATTTTGGACGCGTGTCGTCCGATACCGCAAATCGCGACTGGCCAAATACCGATCGACCCTAAAATCCAATTGTTCAGCTTGAAAACATTCCGAATGTCTCGCCGATAGCTGGAGTCGTGTTCGTCTTGTGCACTTGGCATGTTCACGATGACAATGTTTGTTGAAAACTGCACGAGCCGAACGCGTAGCATTGATTGCAAGGTCACCGGACATGCGCTTGCGTTCATTCTCTAGTAGTAGTATTCTTTTCGCTGTGAACAGTCTGTCTGAATTGATTGTATGCGATTAACATTGTGGGATCTCGAACGTTAGAGCATTTATTGTGTCGTTCGCAGAGGTAATAAGCTGAAAAAACTCATTTTTTTATATATTTGGTAATTTCGTTAAGAATGTAACTTGATATTTAAACATGTATAAGAAAAATAATTTACTGTAATATAAAATAAAATGGCATTAAACGCATTAAAAATTTTCGTAAATATGACGTATAATCATCGAGGTACTTTCAATAATAGCATAGATAGAAAGAAGCATGCATGCGCTGAAAAATCAATTTTGTCGAGAGTAGTATTGTTGCCATTGCAATTATTATTATAATTTGCAAAGAGAATTCTTCCACAGCATTTCCGTATATTTCTTCTTGACTTTTATTTTAAATTAAATAATAATAAAATATAATTAGAAGCAGAAGAGTGATTTATAAAAGAAAAAAAGCAATATATCTTATATATAATCTTTAATAATAAGAAAATTATTAGAACTTAAAAAATTGAATTTTATAGTGTTTTGAAAATATTATGAATATTTACATTGCTTGTCTTTTCTTTTATTTTTTAAAGGCACATAGGTAAAAGTGAAACGTCTATATCATTTCTTGTGTCTTCTTATTAATTTCAAGATTTATATAAATTTGTTATATATATTATTTGTGCATTAAATAATTTATTTAATATATTTTCACTTAAAAAAAAATCGTTGTTTATCGTAGATTGCTTTTTTCCTCAAAGATGATATAAATTGCATATTATTCTGCATTTATCAAACGGCAGTTCGAAGTAAATTCAAATATGCGACCGAGGTTTTTAGAACCTATAAAATGCGATACCAAAAATATTAATATCGAAATATGTCGACCGTAAATTTTATTTGCTCGAATTTAATCATTCACTTTTGGGTAAGGAAGAATGCATTAATTATATTTTTGTTTTTTAAAAACATAATGATATAAATCGTACTTACATTACCAAAATTAGTAAAGGAAAGACTTATTAATCTTCCAGCGGTAATTTGTGTCGGATGACGAGACATAGTGATCATCAACATGAGATCAAGAGCGGCTTTTCCCGGTAAATTGTACCATTCGATCTTGTACGAAGTATACCCGACTTTGCTACACTATATATCTAATTTTATTTATTTATATATAAAATTACATATGGATTGTACGTATATTATTTAAATATATATATAGAATCACAAGAATTAAATTCTATGAAATTATCCTAATTAATTCAATATAATTACAAGCACCTGCTCCATTAGTAGTTCACCGATGTAGCAGAATATAAAAATATTAAAGATGAAAGAAATTAACAGAAAAAAGTATGTGAAAATTGCTATACGATCGCTATTGTTCCATTCCTGTGAATATGATGCAGTATCGATTCATACATTATATCGGAGAATACTCAGGAGGCAGTATTAAAAATGTCGACATTACTTTTGAAACGTAACTTTTTGGAATGTATAAAATTACCGTAATCAGAGAATATTCTACCAAGCACATTATCAATGTCGTTCCCACTAGCTCGATAAGGCATATCTCGCGTAAAGTATTCTCGATGCTGGCTGAAAATCTATAAAATTTCAATCTAATTTTTGGTACATTTAACATGGAGATAAACTGACGTAATCTTTTATCGATTAAAAATATTCTTGAGAAATTTTTGAGTGCGTAATTTTCTCAACAAACTATAGATTGTATTTTCTCGTATAGATTTCATTGTCGAAATATGCAGATAATTCTCTTCTGAAGATGCAACAGGTAGCAAGTTGGAGGGTACTTACTTCAACGCTCTCACGTGATGTTGCACAATAATCGCCATGCATTGCTCAAACTTTACACGACTGCATTCTTTTTTGATAAGATTTTCCACGCGAGTTAACACGATGTTGACCTGACCGCATGCATGGGCCACAAACATGGCCGCTAAACAGCAAACCGACGTAGTAATGTTAAACATGACAACGCCGGTGAAGCATTGCAGGCAAAAAGCGAACACATAAATTGGCATTAATTGCAAATCAAACAGGATATCAAAACCGAGATAGGCCATCGGTCGAATAGTAATGTTCTGCTCGTTATCGGGCATTTGCGATAGAAATGGCATTATCGTGTTGTAAGAGAGGCCACCGCAATACATGAACACTATACAAAATTTTGACAATATTTGGCCCTTTTCCGCGTCTCTTAACATAATTTCCCGATGATACCCCTCCTGAACCATACGCCAATCCTTAGTGAGAATTTTAATGCATCGCCGAAAGCTCTTATGACGTATTACTAAGAAAAAGTATTTTAGCATAGAGAAAAACACATAACCCAGCGGACCTAGCATCTTCATTTTCTCGCTCATGACACTTCGATCCGTAAAGGTGAATATACTCGTTAATACCAGGAATAAACTGAGCACAGTCCAACACAATGTGAACGAGAACATTGCCAATATCTTTTCGATCCTTGTGGTATCCGGATATACTAGCGGCCAGATACCAAGAACTCGCAATAGCCATCTGTTCCATATCAATATATCAATCACATCTTTCTCATGATTCGCATTGGGCCATATCGGCATCTTGCCCATGCTGCCGTGTCAAAGGCGCGCGAATGACTGAGCGCATTCTATCGATTATAGTGACGGTAGAAAATTTGCGCATGACCATCACACATGCAATGCAGTATTTTCAACTATACGTTATAACAAGGGAGAAGAATTGCGTGTGCTTGACAAATCGATTTTGTCACAGAGATGTATAGCTTTAGTTACATGTTTTCACTTGTAACGATGGTAGCTCCGCATCACAAAAATAATTATATGGTTTTGAATCAAATATTTTTTGACTTATCTATGTGCAATAAAGTATATGAAAAGTAGTGATAAATGAAAGAAAAATCGCAGCAGTGTTTCAGTTCTTTTTGTTTAAACTAGGTAAATACTTTCGTATGGGATACAGTTTTTTTAAGAACAAGACATAAGAATTTAATAACTAAATAAAATGCATTTAAAAAAATATACTTATTTTAAAAATTTACAGCAGTAATAAAAATATTAATCCTTTGTACAGCAATTTTTTGTTTTCGAAGATATTGTGAATAGTATCTATTCTACGAGAAGTGTTCACCGATATAACAAAATATCTCAATATTAAATGTAAAGGAAATCAATAGAATGAAATAGGTCAAGATGGCCACAGCGTCATTATTTACCCATTCTTAAGAGAGTAATAAATAAATAGCTATCACAAAATTCGACAACAGTTGTTCAGTGATAGACAAACTAAGAATTTGTACGAAACTTTAAGAGACACTATTATGTTATTGTTACATTGAGATCTGTTACAATGATTTTTTTTTTATTGTTAAGCAATCAATTCCGTTAAGCATATTTCGCATAGCACTTTCTCTACATTGACCGAAAATCTGGAAATGTGTGTCACGTATTTATTCAAAAATCTAAAAACGCGCCATATGATCTATCCATACAATCTTTGCAATTTTTTACTCACCTTAGTACTCGTTCGTGAAATGCGAAAGACGAAAATTGAAATATATTTCCTGATGTGACACAAGCGCGGGGCTAATGATTTCAGAATCGCGTGCGTTTCATCTTTATCTATAATGTGTGTAATAAATTCTAATTTTTAAATATATTATGTATTTTTTGCTATGCGCATTTGAAATTATAATGATAGTATTATAAGCTTATTTATTAATATTAATATTTTAGGTATATTTTATGATTGATCAAATAAAGATTTGTTATATATATGTTAATTTATTATCGATTTCTATATAATATTTGTTGGGAGCAAAAAATATATTTTTATAGCAAATTTTTGCAGTTAGGAACTATAATAAAAAAATATAATAATTTTTTATTATGTAATTGTCCGAAGCAAATTTAAATATACCACGGACGTTTTAAGTACCTGAAAGAGTAACCAAAATTTAAGGATAAATTAATAATTATGTTTGACATAATAATTTTAATATTAATTTCAGCAAAAACTCACGGCACCAAATGTGTAAATAGATAAATCGAAAAATTTGCCAGCTGTAAGTTTAGGCGGATATTGAGACATCGTGATGATTAATACGAGACCAAGAGCTTTATTTCCGGGTAAATCGTACCAATTAATGTTATAGACGGCTGAACCAATTTTGCTATACTGATGAAAATACAAAAGATTAATATAGATATATTTATATCACTTAATGTGCGAAACTAATAATGTCACAATAAATGTGTAAAACTATATTAAAATATCGTTATAGATATCACACATTATTGATTTTAAAATTGTATTATGTGTTTTGCATTTAATTATATGTATATGTGATGATCACACACACAATAATATTATTTTTGCACAAAAATTCAACAATTAAAATAAAATAAATAAATGAAATACATTTTATAAAAGCTTGTTTTTAAAATATATAACGTTATTGTTACATTGAGATCTGTTACAATGATTTTTTTTTATTGTTAAGCAATCAATTCCATTAAGCATATTTCGCATAGCGAACTTTCTCTACATTGACCGAAAATCTGGAAATGTGTGTCACGTATTTATTCAAAAATCTAAAAACGCGCCATATGATCTATCCATACAATCTTTGCAATTTTTTACTCACCTTAGTACTCGTTCGTGAAATGCGAAAGACGAAAATTGAAATATATTTCCTGATGTGACACAAGCGCGGGGCTAATGATTTCAGAATCGCGTGCGTTTCATCTTTATCTATAATGTGTGTAATAAATTCTAATTTTTAAATATATTATGTATTTTTTGCTATGCGCATTTGAAATTATAATGATAGTATTATAAGCTTATTTATTAATATTAATATTTTAGGTATATTTTATGATTGATCAAATAAAGATTTGTTATATATATGTTAGTTTATTATCGATTTCTATATAATATTTGTTGGGAGCAAAAAATATATTTTTATAGCAAATTTTTGCAGTTAGGAACTATAATAAAAAAATATAATAATTTTTTATTATGTAATTGTCCGAAGCAAATTTAAATATACCACGGACGTTTTAAGTACCTGAAAGAGTAACAAAAATTTAAGGATAAATTAATAATTATGTTTGACATAATAATTTTAATATTAATTTCAGCAAAAACTCACGGCACCAAATGTGTAAATAGATAAATCGAAAAATTTGCCAGCTGTAAGTTTAGGCGGATATTGAGACATCGTGATGATTAATACGAGACCAAGAGCTTTATTTCCGGGTAAATCGTACCAATTAATGTTATAGACGGCTGAACCAATTTTGCTATACTGATGAAAATACAAAAGATTAATATAGATATATTTATATCACTTAATGTGCGAAACTAATAATGTCACAATAAATGTGTAAAACTATATTAAAATATCGTTATAGATATCACACATTATTGATTTTAAAATTGTATTATGTGTTTTGCATTTAATTATATGTATATGTGATGATCACACACACAATAATATTATTTTTGCACAAAAATTCAACAATTAAAATAAAATAAATAAATGAAATACATTTTATAAAAGCTTGTTTTTAAAATATATAACAATAATGAACTTTATAATTCTTTGTATAACAATTTGTTAAATTGTTGAATAGAGTGATGCACGTAATGTAATTAATAGTAAATCCGTGAAAAATTGTCTTATCCTTAAAGACATAACGATTTACCTGTTCCACGAGGAGTTCGCCGATATAACAAAATATCAGAATATTAAATGTAAAGGAAATCAATAGAATAAAATAGGTTAAAATGGCTGTAGCATCGCTATTTTCCCATTCCTAAAAAATATATGACTTTCATAAAATTCGACAAAACTTGTTCAATGAGTTTCAAATTAAGAATTTGTGCAACTTTAGGGAAGACTATTATATTATCATGACAACGATATTTATTATCATGATATCTCCTTTACCGTTAAGCAATAGTATTCGAGTAAGCATATAATCAAAGTGGAAGCCACCAGTTCCATTAAGCATATTTCGCGTAGCACTTCTTCTACATTAGTGGAAAATCTGGAAGCGTATCACGTATTTCGCCGCGCCTCATTATCTATTTAGATCATCTTCGTATTTTTTTACTCACCTCAATACTCGCACATGATGCCTCGCTATACCGCGTAGACGTTTCTCCACAGTGGTATCCTTGTTCCTTTTTCCATCGACCAGGTCATCCAACATCGTCATTAATATCTGCAGTTGTCCACAAGCGTGCGTCACAAAGATCGCTGCCAAACTGCACGCTGCTGTCGTGATGTTATACGTGATTAGCGCAAACAGACAGTGGATGAGAAACACGATCTCGTAAACTGGGCTGGCTTCAGGATCGAAGAAGAGGTTGTAGCCAGGATAGGTGAGCGGTCTGTGCGTGATATTCTGGTCGACTTGCCTAGAAGATAACGGCAGGATCGTATGATAAGACAATCCACCGGTATAAAGGAAGATCGCGCATAACATGGTGAGTCTGCGGCCAACCAGTGCATTCTTCATCATAATTTCGCGATGATCTTGATATCGAACGATCCGCCAGTCGTCCTCGACGTGCCGAATGCATCTTCCGAATGCGGCGCTGCGCACACCGAGATAGCAATACTTGATCGTGGAAGTCAGACAGAAACCGACCGGACCGAAGAGCTTGACTTTGACGTTAATGTCCTTCTCGTAGAACAAAGTGTGCAATCCGGAAGGTATCAGGACGAAGCACAGAGCGGAGAAGCACGTGACGATCAGTGCTAGGGAGATGAGCTTTTCATTTCGCGACGCATGACCGTAGATGAAGTGCCAGATACCGATCGGTTTCAAGACCCATCGACACAGCTGCATGGTGTAACGTATGTCGTGCTCGTAATGTGCATTGTGCTCAACCATGGTTTCTGGAAGTTGGGATCGATCGCACATGCTGTCACCCGTAAGGTGCAACGAAGACTGAAACTCGCATACGGCGGCGTCCCGATGTTCGCAACGCGACGCAAGCGCGGGGAATAATGATTCCGCGTGCGTTTCATGTCTGTCATGTGTGGTAAACCATACATACGTAGATAATTGACTTTTCTATGGTCATTGCTCGTCTGAGGGTGCTGTAATGTGTGAGTGCAAAGAGATCTGAAGTTCATGACAAGTTATAATATAGTAGCACGCATATAATCCACAATTTCAATATCTTTCAAATACGCAACTTATCGTTGTAAATCATACGTCTTCGCGATTTCTAAAATGTTATGTATACAATCATTATATATAATATAATATTATGCATTTGTCTTTTAAAATACAATTGCAACATGCGTATTTTCTAATCTTTTTTGTATATATAACATAGCATATTATAATTTTTGAATATAATATATTTTTTGTTATATATATTTAATTATATATATAATGGTAATATTATAATTTTATTTACTAAAACATTTGTTAGACTAATAATCTTTTTGTATACTTACATTACCGAAAGTAGAGAGGGAAAGCTCGATCATTTTTCCAGCAGTGATTTTGACCACGATGCTAGAACGTAAAATTATCAGAACAAAACCGAGGGCACTGTTTCCAGGTAATAGATACCATTTTGTCATATAGGCGATTTCGCCAACTTGGTCGCACTGTTATAACCCATTTTATATACCTGTTACGATTAAATCGGAAAATACGTTCGCGGCAGTATAGTGTTTCAATAAAACTCATAGGGAAAATTAACTATTTTGCTCTAGATTATACAATTTCTTATTAATCACCAAAAAAATCTTTAAAGTTCTAATTTTTTATATAACAGCGCTGACATTACCTGTTCCGAAAGGATCTCCCCGATGTAACAAAATATAAAGATATTGAAAGTGACAGAGATCAATATTATACCGTACGCAATTATACCTTTACTGTCTTGATTCCATTCCTGAAAAAGATTAGTTAATTTATACAAAAAATAGATAAAACTAATGTGTAAATGTTACATGTGAATTTCATGATGTGCGCTTACCAATATGCAATAATATCCTAAGAGGCACATATGCATTGTGCATCCCCCTATTTCCACGAGACAAACAACATTCGTAATTTTCTCTATGTAGGATACAAAGCTAAAAATGTATTTAGAAATACGTAATATGCATTATAATAATTAATTGTTTGCACATATTTTCTCATATACATATATATGATTTATTAATACATATTATATTATATAAAGACGTATATTTTAGAACATATTTATTCAATAAGTAAGGTTAATGTATTATTAAACAATATCTGGTGTATTATTAAATTTAAAGCAAAAGATAAAAATAAATCCGTTTTGGTTATATATTGTACAAAAAAATTAACTAAAAATCTACTAAAAATCTAATTAACATTTAAGAAATTAATAAGGTTGTCATGTAAAACACAAATATGAATTTCGCGAAATTGAAATCTACATAATTCAATTCATTCAATTCTTACCTAAGTATCTTTAAATGATGCTCGACGACAACTGCGAATTTTTGCTGCGAAAAGTCTCTCTTTTCATTCTTGTCGATGAAATTATCTAACAAGGATATCAGAATCTTTAATTGACCACAGGCATGCATTACAAAAACGGAAGTGATACTACATGTAGCTGCCACTATGGAATTTACTACAAACGTAGATAAAAATTGTATCGCAAACACTATTTCGTACGTCGGGCTTGTCGTAGTATCCAGAATCTTATCATAGAACGCGAAAGGCAGGGAATGCACCGACACGTTATCAGCGGTGGACTCGTCCAACGTCATTCCTCGGAAGATACTGTAGGAGAACACTCCGCTGTGCACGAAAGTCGCGGCGAATATCGCGATGAAGCGACCGATCCTGGCGTTCTTCAACATCACTTCTCGCTCCTCTATTTTCGTCACGGCTCGCCAATCTGATTCGATATGTTCGATACATCGACGTATGTCGCCGACATGCGTCAGCAACGTGCAGTACTTGAGACTTGCGAGCACCCAATTGCTGAGAGGCCCGAAATCGCGTACCTTTGCCTCCACGTCCTTGGTCTCATCCAGAAAAATAGCCAACGCACAAGGTATTAAAGTACTAGCGATGAGGAAAACGCACACTAGCAGTAGCACCATCGACAGAATCTTTTCCTTGATCGATGATACTGGCCAGATGCTTATTGGCCTCAGGAGCCAACGAATTGGTTGTATGCTATACTCCGTATCCTTTATGTAGTCGAATATGATCGGAAAATTCTGCAGGGAACTCTTCATGTTCGCTTTGCAAGCGCACGGACACGATTGAGCAAATAATCATCCGAAAAAAAACGATGAGTGATAGTCATATAGAGTAACGCGTGCGCATTTTGCCGACTATACTTTCGAATAATACACGCGTCTCTTGGGGAATCGATATTTACGGTGATAGCGTATTGAAGCAATGGTGGGTTTATTACACGATAGACAGCTGATTGCACGCAATAACAGCTGGGTCACGCAAATAATTCACTGTTTTGTTGAAAGAATAATTCTATAAATATGAATAGAAATAAATTATAATAATTATTGAAATATTAACAAAATAATTCTCTATATTTGACTTACAGTGCCAAAAGTATTCAGGGATAAATCACAGAACTTGCCAGCCGTAAGCTTGGGTGGATAATGAGACATCGCGATGATCAATACGAGATCGAGAGCTTTATGGCCAGGTAAGTCGTACCAATTAACTTCATACGCGGCTGAAGCAATTTTGCTATACTAATAAATGTATATATATTAATACTTTACATATTGTATAAAATACTATTATATTATTCATTATAATCTGCAAAATTGTGTTTGAAATTTGTAATATGATAACAATGCTAAGGCTCTGCCATGATTATTGCTGCTCATTTATACAAATAAGACAGCATGATTAAAGAAAAAAAGAATAATTCTTTTTTTATTGTTAGAAATATTATTATATATAAAAGATATATACCTCTTCCACAATGAGCTCGCCGATATAACAAAATATTAGAATATTGAACGTTAAAGATATCAGTAGAATAAAATATGTAAAGATTGCCACGGCGTCGCTATTTTCCCATTCCTGAGAAGGCAAATGTACAATTACATATTTATTATTTATCAATATGAGAAAGAAAAACATTTTTAATCATTATAATTCTCATTACTATCATAATTTTGAATATAAGAAATTATATGAATGAAGAGAAAAACAGTGTCATTATCATTTGACATTGGTTATTACATTCCTCTCACCGTCATGCAATAGTACTCGAGTAAGCATATAATCAAAGTTGCGGCTACCAGTTCCATCAAGCATATTTCATGCAACACTTCCTCCACATCGGCCGTAAATCTAGAAACGCGCCATGAATCTACTCGAAAATCTAAAAACACGCGTCATCGAAATTATCCTGGAGCTTTTCCCATTTTCATCTCACCTCAGCACGCGCACGTGATGCCTCGTTATTAAAGACAGACGCTTGTCCACGGTCGTGTTCTTGTTTTTTTTACCATCCACCATGTCGTCCAACAGCGTCATCAATATCTGCACTTGTCCGCACGCGTGCGTCGCAAAAATCGCTGCCAAACTGCACACCGCCGTCGTGATACTGTACTGGATCATAGCGGATAGGCAATGTACACAAAAGATAATCTCGTAAACGGGACTTGCCTGAGGATCGAAGTAAATATCGTAGCCGGGATAAACCAACGGTCTATTCGTGTAGTTATTGTTCGTTTTCATAGATAACAGCGGCATAATTGTATGATAAGACATTCCACCGGTGTAAAGAAAAATCACGCATAATGTGGTGAGTCTGCGGCCCACTAGTACATTTCTCAGCATCATTTTACGATGATCTTGATATTGAACCATCTGCCAGTCATGTTCGACATGCTTGATGCATTTTCCAATCGCCGTACCGCGCATTCCGAGGAAGCAATACTTTATCGCGGAAGTCAGGCAGAAGCCAACCGGACCAAAGAGCTTAAGCTTAACGTTGATGTCTTTCTCGCGAAGTAGAGTGTATGGACCGGAAGGTACGAGCACGAAACACAAGACAGAAAAGCATGCGAAAATCAGCGTTATCGAAAGCAGTTTCTCGTATTGCGACGAATGGCCATAAACGAGATGCCAGATGCCGATCGGTTTCAGAATCCAACGGCATAGCTGCATAGTATAACGTATATCATTCTCGTAATGCACATTGTATATCTTATCCGGAAGTCTGGATCGATCGCGCATGCTGTCGTCCGCGGGGGATAAACGTCGACTGACAATGAAGCACGCGGACGACGGCGTCACGACGTCCGCGAGGCGACGCAAGCGTGGGGAATAATGATTCCGCAATCGCGTGCATATACGATTTATGTCTACCATGTGTAACGAAGTCAGAAGATACATGCGTATGCGAGGGGTTATCCCCTTTCCCGGTCATTGCATGTCCGAGGGTTCGATGATGACTGAAAGTGCGTAGGGACGTGAAGTTCACGACGAGTTCTAACATAGTTTCGCGGATATATTTCTAGTATTTCCGTAGTGCGTAACGCAGTGCGTTGAAAGTATCGCAGATAAAGAATAAGTATGTGCATTGAATTACCGTATTTTTTTACACAACATCTAATTATAACACAATCTATAATTTTAGATTTTATTGTGAACGTAATTAATTTTTAATTCACAGTTTCAATTATGTTTATCAATTTTCTAAATTTATTTCTTTTTATTTTTAGTTTATATTTACATAAATGATAATTTACTGAAAATGATTTATTGACGAATATTGATTTGCTAACATATATCTAATTTGTATTAGCGCTAATGTTACATTTGATAACAATAATGGCGCGTCGTATCAGACGTAAAAAGTACGAAGTAAATTCATGTAAGCCATGGCTGCTTTCACAATCTGAAATGTTTCTTGTCTTACATTTATATTGTGCGCGCGATAAATAGTTCTGTCATTATCTACTTACGCTGCAAAAACTGGCCAAAGATAACTCCATAAATTTTCCTGGTTTGATCGTGGTAATCGTGGTATTCATTACTAATATTAAACCGAGCGCACTTTTACCCGGTAAATAATACCAGTTTATCATGTAAGACTTCGTAGCAATTTGTGCAATTTGTGCAAAAATTAGATTGATGTTTTCTATGGAAAATAATTCTCGCAATGCATTTAGAATGCAATTATTTATATCACATTAGGTTTTCATGTTATAACCAAAAATTTGTATATATTTTTTCTTATAAAATCAGATTTAATAAATTTAATATAACTAAGCATTCTGAAAGAATTGATAATAAATTAATCGGGAAAATTAAATTTACATTAATTTGTTCGAGTTCTCAGATTAGCTGACTGCGTGATTGCACTTTGAATTTGCAAATATCACAATTTTTTGTACTAAATACAAAGATTGTACGATGTAATTATAGTTGAAGTACCTGTTCGGCAAGGAGTTCTCCAATATAGCAAAGAATAAATATATTGAACGTAAAGGATATGAGTAACGAGCAGAATGTCATCGTTCCTAAAGTTTCACGATGTTCCCATTCCTAAAAGGCTAACATCAAAATGTCGTGAACAAGAAACTGTTATAGTTTTTTATATTATGTTACTCATGTACTTAAAACGTTTTCTGCGATTATATTTCGTACCGTCATCATATTGAATGCCAAAAAACATATATTGAGCGTACATCCTACTACATCCACGAAGAAAATCTCATTTAATAATCCCTCGGTGCGAGTTATAAAACTGTAAGTTATGTAAAAACTGTAGAAAAAAGAGCCGAAATATTTTCTTTGATTTTATTCATAATAATTGAGAAATCACGCGTTTGTCTACACAAGATTTTTATTTATTTTATATATTTCATTCAAAATCATATTAGAACTCTGATATTTCGTAAGAAAGAAGATTTTTGATTATAATTTAATTCTTTTATGTTTGCGTATATTTTTCTTCACGTATAAATCGCGATTATAAGATATTATTAATACGGAAGTTAATGCGCATGTTACCTTAATATTCTAATGTGATATTTCACGATGTCGCTGAGCCTTTCCTCGGGCGTCTTTCCGCTGATGCTCTTTCTTTTTTTTCCGTCCGCAAGATTCTCCATCTTTAGCATGAGAATCCGGAACTGACCGCAAGCATGCATGACGAATACCGCGGCCAGGCTGCAGACACCGATGGTGAGCGTGTAAATGGCGTAACCAGCTAGAGTTTGCGTGAATTGAGCGATCTCAAAGGACGGAGTGGTCCGTGGATCGAGGAGGCCGCGGTAGATCGGGAAGGACAGTAATCTCACCGTCTCGTTATCGATTATCTCCGTTCTTTTTGCACAAAGCGGCATCAGCGTGGTATAAAAGAAGCCAGCGGAATACATGAAGGCCGCGCTGACGAAAGAAAGCCATCTGCCAAATTTGGCATTGTCCAACATGACTTCGCGGTCCTTCTCGTGACCCAGCCTGACTCGATCCCAGTCCGCGCGGATGTGTCGGATGCATTCGCTGATGCGTTCGCCGCGGGCGATGAGGATGTATTGCTTTACCACGGCCATCAGGAAGAAACTGATTGGACCAATCATTCTGATTTTCATGTCGAGATCAGTGTCTACTAGAATGGTGCCGAGAGTGCACGGGACGAGCAGAAAACATATTAGAAAGCAGCTGATCACCGACAAGATCACGCAGCTGATCTTCTCCGTTGTGGTTTCGCAAAGTGTCAGAGGCCACGCGCCAACCGGTTTTAGGAACCAGCGATTCAGCTGGATGCTATAGTTCCAACCGTCTATCGCGGACTCGAGAGAATGATCGTACATGGTGAATGACTAAATCGTAACGACACGCACAACTGACTGAACGCGAGCGGACTGATCACGAAGTATGCGCATGTGCATTTTCCGTCTGTCTCTGGACACTCGTGCGTCCGTGCATAAACGCAATTGATCCTTCCTACTTCGCCATTTTATTATTAATGAGACTTCAATAGGTTTTACTTTCTGGGATTTCATTGCGTGTTGCGTGCAGGTCCTCTCAAGGGGATGCGAAAAGGGAGTTTCACCAAGTAGAGTTCTGAGGATATTATTCATGATTGAGGGGGAATGCGTAATGTGTATGCCGGGTTTCGTTTCCTGCTTCATATTTTCTGATATGAACAGTAGACGATTTTCTACTTTTGTCTTACTTCGTATATATGATCATAGTAAGTATAATAAGACAAACTTCTCTGCGAAAGGTTGACAGAAATGTTTCTTGAAGTTATGCAATATATTAATGATTATAATTATACAATATAATCATATTCGATGAAAAAGATATGTAATAACAACTCTGTGAACAGTGAAGCTTGATTTATTTTGATAAACAAAATACTGTTATATATCTAATGAGTATAATAGCTTATAAAATCAAATTAAAAAAATTATTTAATATATTTAATATTAAAATATTAAAGAGTTTTTAGAGTACGTTAAAATATGTTATTGATGCTTTCTAAACCTGGAAGTAAGATTGATGTTACATTTTTATAAAATATTTTATAAAATTATGTGATGTAAGTATAAATTGCATGAATGAATATGACATATTTTTATTCTGCAAAATTTATGCAGTTTTCAGAAAATTGCATATATTATATCTATTCAAAAACTGAAACTTATATTGACAATTTACGTAAATTTTATTTACAATATTTTGTTAGTGTATGACTTGCACCGGAAAATGTGTCCTTATTTAAGATAGAAATATATTACATAGTAAATTTATTAGATTTCTCTGTTTGTTATTTTATAATAAATTGTCTATATTGCATATTGTTTACTTTTCTCACATTATGATTATGTTATTATTTATGTAATCAATGTTCGAAATATATTTAAATATGCTAATGCAGATTTAATTACCTGAAATAGTTAAAAATTACACATTTAAAAAGAAGTCATCACTCTTTGAAAAAAAAAAAAATATATATATATATAAATGATTTATATATATATAATTTTTTCACACGATTTACATATTTATATATTTCTCTTTGCATCACTCACATCACCGAACGTAATAAATGACAGCTGAACAATGTTCCCAGCAGTAATTTTAAGGGCAGTGTCGGATCTTAAAATTATCAAAACGAGTCCAAGGGCCGTTTTCCCAGGCAAGAGATACCAATTCGTCATATAAGCAGATTTACCAACTTGTCCGCCCTGTTAAAGGCCGTTTTATATATACCTGTTATAATGCAATTGAAGAGACCCCAACAATTTTTGATTTCAATAAATTTCACAATTATAAACTATATTATAGGCGTAATTGCTTTTTTATTATAGCATAAAATTGTTTATTATTTTCAATTTGAGATATTACCTGCTCAGAAAGGACCTCTCCTATGTAACAAAATATAAAAATATTAAAAGTAACTGAAGTTAATATTATACAATATGAAATAATATTCTGTTTGTTATCTTGTACCCAATCCTAAAAGGAATAATGTTAGAAATATATATAGTCAAATGGATAAATAATAAAGTAAAAATAAGCACTATACATAAATTCCGAAACATATCCATACCATAATGCAATAATATCCTAAAAGACATATGTGCATCGTACATCCGACTAATTCTACAAGACATATTATATTCGTAATTCTTTCTGTACGGGATACAAGTCTGCAAATATAATGTACATCACAATCTACCGTAATTATCTTGTAATAAGTCTTGTTCGATTGTGAATTATGCATAAAATTTGCATTGAAAAAATTTTCTTATATTAATTATTTATTATTACTTTAGAATTAAACTTGTGATCGAGATGCAAAATATCACAAAATATCATGTGTACAACAAAAAGTCAAGAATAATAGCTTACCTCAACACTCTCAGATGATGCTCCACAATGATGGCGAACCTTTGTTTTATAGAATTTTTCTCTTCATTTTGTCCGTCCAGAAGATTGTCTAACCAGGACATTAAAATTTTGAGCTGGCCGCACGCGTGCATCACGAAAACCGCCGCGAGGCCACACGCGGCAACCGTGACGGAATTGACGACAAAGGTCGAGAAGCATTGTAGAAAAAACACGAACTCGTATGCCGGACTGAAATGCGCGTTCAGGATCTTGCTATAGAAGGGATAAGGTAAGGCGCGAACCATCACACTGCTGTTATCCATGTATAAAACGTCTTTGGAAAAAACTCGGGCAACATTGTACGAAAAAACACCACTATGCATAAACACGGTGCAGAAGCCGGCGATGAATCTACCTATTTTGGCATTTCTCAGCATTATCTGCCGATCTTCGACTTTTTTAATGAGCCGCCAGTCCGTCTCTACGTGCTTTACGCAGCTGCGTATGTCATCGACATGCATCAAGAGACAGGAATAATTTATCATCGCCATGAACCAGAAGGTGAGCGGCCCGAAGCTACGCAACTTGACTTCGAAGGTCTCCTGCGACTCCAAAAAGATACTTAGACCACTCGGTATCATGATGGCAATTATCAGAAAATAGCATATAAATATCAGAAATTTGGAACGGGCCTTTTCAACGATCGAAATGTTGGTAGATCGTGGCCATAGATTAATAGCTTTGAGAATCCAACGTATTATCTGAATACTATACTCGTTGTCGATCAAGTACGTAGATGCAATGGTGCCAGGATTATTCATGGTGTCATGCCCCATGATTTTCTGACGAAGGTAGCTAGTTTACTGAGCTACCCCTGCGCTGTCGTACACAGTAGTAACAGTCAACGCGTGCGCAGACAGTGAACGGCACGTAATGCGCAAGGTGGTCTTTACCCATGTATTGTTGTGTATTATTATGGTCATTTGCAACATTGCCGCGGCAACAGGTAGAAACAGTTCGTAATCGATACTTGGTATTGAAGTTTCGTGCATCGTGTATTACAGTTTTGAAAAAGCAGTTATGTTGTAGATCGCATCATCATGATTTATTAAATAAAATAAAATAATTAATTTTATTAACATAATTGTATATAGCAAAATAGCAAAATATATATTGCAAATTTAAAAGAGCAAGCAAAGTATCTAAATTTTATTTTGAGAACAGAGAAGAATATTATATAGTATTCTCCCATAAATATATCATTATTATTTAATTATTTAATAGCTTACTATTCGCTATTTACTTACATGCTCTACTTAATATATTAAAAATTATTAATATTTACGTAATAAGAGTACGAAGTATGTTCAAATATGCTAATGCAGATTTAATTACCTGAAACAGTTATTAGTCATATTGTCGCTATAAAAAATATATTTATTCAGTTAATGATTAACTTTCAAAATAATTAATTTATTTTTAAAGAATCTTTATATATATTATATATATATATATATATAAGATATATCTATCTGAATTGAGAGATACATTTTTGTATACTTACATTACCGAAAGTAGAGAGGGAAAGCTCGATCATTTTTCCAGCAGTGATTTTGACCACGATGCTAGAACGTAAAATTATCAGAACAAAACCGAGGGCACTGTTTCCAGGTAATAGATACCATTTTGTCATATAGGCGATTTCGCCAACTTGGTCGCACTGTTATAACCCATTTTATATACCTGTTACGATTAAATCGGAAAATACGTTCGCGGCAGTATAGTGTTTCAATAAAACTCATAGGGAAAATTAACTATTTTGCTCTAGATTATACAATTTCTTATTAATCACCAAAAAAATCTTTAAAGTTCTAATTTTTTATATAACAGCGCTGACATTACCTGTTCCGAAAGGATCTCCCCGATGTAACAAAATATAAAGATATTGAAAGTGACAGAGATCAATATTATACCGTACGCAATTATACCTTTACTGTCTTGATTCCATTCCTGAAAAAGATTAGTTAATTTATACAAAAAATAGATAAAACTAATGTGTAAATGTTACATGTGAATTTCATGATGTGCGCTTACCAATATGCAATAATATCCTAAGAGGCACATATGCATTGTGCATCCCCCTATTTCCACGAGACAAACAACATTCGTAATTTTCTCTATGTAGGATACAAAGCTAAAAATGTATTTAGAAATACGTAATATGCATTATAATAATTAATTGTTTGCACATATTTTCTCATATACATATATATGATTTATTAATACATATTATATTATATAAAGACGTATATTTTAGAACATATTTATTCAATAAGTAAGGTTAATGTATTATTAAACAATATCTGGTGTATTATTAAATTTAAAGCAAAAGATAAAAATAAATCCGTTTTGGTTATATATTGTACAAAAAAATTAACTAAAAATCTACTAAAAATCTAATTAACATTTAAGAAATTAATAAGGTTGTCATGTAAAACACAAATATGAATTTCGCGAAATTGAAATCTACATAATTCAATTCATTCAATTCTTACCTAAGTATCTTTAAATGATGCTCGACGACAACTGCGAATTTTTGCTGCGAAAAGTCTCTCTTTTCATTCTTGTCGATGAAATTATCTAACAAGGATATCAGAATCTTTAATTGACCACAGGCATGCATTACAAAAACGGAAGTGATACTACATGTAGCTGCCACTATGGAATTTACTACAAACGTAGATAAAAATTGTATCGCAAACACTATTTCGTACGTCGGGCTTGTCGTAGTATCCAGAATCTTATCATAGAACGCGAAAGGCAGGGAATGCACCGACACGTTATCAGCGGTGGACTCGTCCAACGTCATTCCTCGGAAGATACTGTAGGAGAACACTCCGCTGTGCACGAAAGTCGCGGCGAATATCGCGATGAAGCGACCGATCCTGGCGTTCTTCAACATCACTTCTCGCTCCTCTATTTTCGTCACGGCTCGCCAATCTGATTCGATATGTTCGATACATCGACGTATGTCGCCGACATGCGTCAGCAACGTGCAGTACTTGAGACTTGCGAGCACCCAATTGCTGAGAGGCCCGAAATCGCGTACCTTTGCCTCCACGTCCTTGGTCTCATCCAGAAAAATAGCCAATGCACAAGGTATTAAAGTACTGGCGATGAGGAAAACGCACACTAGCAGTAGCACCATCGACAGAATCTTTTCCTTGATCGATGATACTGGCCAGATGCTTATTGGCCTCAGGAGCCAACGAATTGGTTGTATGCTATACTCCGTATCCTTTATGTAGTCGAATATGATCGGAAAATTCTGCAGGGAACTCTTCATGTTCGCTTTGCAAGCGCACGGACACGATTGAGCAAATAATCATCCGAAAAAAAACGATGAGTGATAGTCATATAGAGTAACGCGTGCGCATTTTGCCGACTATACTTTCGAATAATACACGCGTCTCTTGGGGAATCGATATTTACGGTGATAGCGTATTGAAGCAATGGTGGGTTTATTACACGATAGACAGCTGATTGCACGCAATAACAGCTGGGTCACGCAAATAATTCACTGTTTTGTTGAAAGAATAATTCTATGGTGCTTTACTTTCTGCATCTTTATTTAAAAGAATGTAATGAACATTTTTTGCGTTATTATTAACAATGTATATTAGTTATATCTTATTTCTCAATTTTTTTATTATTTTAAAATGGCAATCAGAAATTAAATAATATAATTAATTTGCGCTTATATCGAGCGGTCTCAAAAGAAGAAAGTACAATCTAATAAGATATTAAAAAATAATAATGGATGCCAGAGAAAATTTAATAAATTTTAAACCGAGCGCACTTTTACCCGGTAAATAATACCAGTTTATCATGTAAGACTTCGTAGCAATTTGTGCACACTGTTAAAAAATTAGATTGATGTTTTCTATGGAAAATAATTCTCGCAATGCATTTAGAATGCAATTATTTATATCACATTAGGTTTTCATGTTATAACCAAAAATTTGTATATATTTTTTCTTATAAAATCAGATTTAATAAATTTAATATAACTAAGCATTCTGAAAGAATTGATAATAAATTAATCGGGAAAATTAAATTTACATTAATTTGTTCGAGTTCTCAGATTAGCTGACTGCGTGATTGCACTTTGAATTTGCAAATATCACAATTTTTTGTACTAAATACAAAGATTGTACGATGTAATTATAGTTGAAGTACCTGTTCGGCAAGGAGTTCTCCAATATAGCAAAGAATAAATATATTGAACGTAAAGGATATGAGTAACGAGCAGAATGTCATCGTTCCTAAAGTTTCACGATGTTCCCATTCCTAAAAGGCTAACATCAAAATGTCGTGAACAAGAAACTGTTATAGTTTTTTATATTATGTTACTCATGTACTTAAAACGTTTTCTGCGATTATATTTCGTACCGTCATCATATTGAATGCCAAAAAACATATATTGAGCGTACATCCTACTACATCCACGAAGAAAATCTCATTTAATAATCCCTCGGTGCGAGTTATAAAACTGTAAGTTATGTAAAAACTGTAGAAAAAAGAGCCGAAATATTTTCTTTGATTTTATTCATAATAATTGAGAAATCACGCGTTTGTCTACACAAGATTTTTATTTATTTTATATATTTCATTCAAAATCATATTAGAACTCTGATATTTCGTAAGAAAGAAGATTTTTGATTATAATTTAATTCTTTTATGTTTGCGTATATTTTTCTTCACGTATAAATCGCGATTATAAGATATTATTAATACGGAAGTTAATGCGCATGTTACCTTAATATTCTAATGTGATATTTCACGATGTCGCTGAGCCTTTCCTCGGGCGTCTTTCCGCTGATGCTCTTTCTTTTTTTTCCGTCCGCAAGATTCTCCATCTTTAGCATGAGAATCCGGAACTGACCGCAAGCATGCATGACGAATACCGCGGCCAGGCTGCAGACACCGATGGTGAGCGTGTAAATGGCGTAACCAGCTAGAGTTTGCGTGAATTGAGCGATCTCAAAGGACGGAGTGGTCCGTGGATCGAGGAGGCCGCGGTAGATCGGGAAGGACAGTAATCTCACCGTCTCGTTATCGATTATCTCCGTTCTTTTTGCACAAAGCGGCATCAGCGTGGTATAAAAGAAGCCAGCGGAATACATGAAGGCCGCGCTGACGAAAGAAAGCCATCTGCCAAATTTGGCATTGTCCAACATGACTTCGCGGTCCTTCTCGTGACCCAGCCTGACTCGATCCCAGTCCGCGCGGATGTGTCGGATGCATTCGCTGATGCGTTCGCCGCGGGCGATGAGGATGTATTGCTTTACCACGGCCATCAGGAAGAAACTGATTGGACCAATCATTCTGATTTTCATGTCGAGATCAGTGTCTACTAGAATGGTGCCGAGAGTGCACGGGACGAGCAGAAAACATATTAGAAAGCAGCTGATCACCGACAAGATCACGCAGCTGATCTTCTCCGTTGTGGTTTCGCAAAGTGTCAGAGGCCACGCGCCAACCGGTTTTAGGAACCAGCGATTCAGCTGGATGCTATAGTTCCAACCGTCTATCGCGGACTCGAGAGAATGATCGTACATGGTGAATGACTAAATCGTAACGACACGCACAACTGACTGAACGCGAGCGGACTGATCACGAAGTATGCGCATGTGCATTTTCCGTCTGTCTCTGGACACTCGTGCGTCCGTGCATAAACGCAATTGATCCTTCCTACTTCGCCATTTTATTATTAATGAGACTTCAATAGGTTTTACTTTCTGGGATTTCATTGCGTGTTGCGTGCAGGTCCTCTCAAGGGGATGCGAAAAGGGAGTTTCACCAAGTAGAGTTCTGAGGATATTATTCATGATTGAGGGGGAATGCGTAATGTGTATGCCGGGTTTCGTTTCCTGCTTCATATTTTCTGATATGAACAGTAGACGATTTTCTACTTTTGTCTTACTTCGTATATATGATCATAGTAAGTATAATAAGACAAACTTCTCTGCGAAAGGTTGACAGAAATGTTTCTTGAAGTTATGCAATATATTAATGATTATAATTATACAATATAATCATATTCGATGAAAAAGATATGTAATAACAACTCTGTGAACAGTGAAGCTTGATTTATTTTGATAAACAAAATACTGTTATATATCTAATGAGTATAATAGCTTATAAAATCAAATTAAAAAAATTATTTAATATATTTAATATTAAAATATTAAAGAGTTTTTAGAGTACGTTAAAATATGTTATTGATGCTTTCTAAACCTGGAAGTAAGATTGATGTTACATTTTTATAAAATATTTTATAAAATTATGTGATGTAAGTATAAATTGCATGAATGAATATGACATATTTTTATTCTGCAAAATTTATGCAGTTTTCAGAAAATTGCATATATTATATCTATTCAAAAACTGAAACTTATATTGACAATTTACGTAAATTTTATTTACAATATTTTGTTAGTGTATGACTTGCACCGGAAAATGTGTCCTTATTTAAGATAGAAATGTAAATGTTACATGTGAATTTCATGATGTGCGCTTACCAATATGCAATAATATCCTAAGAGGCACATATGCATTGTGCATCCCCCTATTTCCACGAGACAAACAACATTCGTAATTTTCTCTATGTAGGATACAAAGCTAAAAATGTATTTAGAAATACGTAATATGCATTATAATAATTAATTGTTTGCACATATTTTCTCATATACATATATATGATTTATTAATACATATTATATTATATAAAGACGTATATTTTAGAACATATTTATTCAATAAGTAAGGTTAATGTATTATTAAACAATATCTGGTGTATTATTAAATTTAAAGCAAAAGATAAAAATAAATCCGTTTTGGTTATATATTGTACAAAAAAATTAACTAAAAATCTACTAAAAATCTAATTAACATTTAAGAAATTAATAAGGTTGTCATGTAAAACACAAATATGAATTTCGCGAAATTGAAATCTACATAATTCAATTCATTCAATTCTTACCTAAGTATCTTTAAATGATGCTCGACGACAACTGCGAATTTTTGCTGCGAAAAGTCTCTCTTTTCATTCTTGTCGATGAAATTATCTAACAAGGATATCAGAATCTTTAATTGACCACAGGCATGCATTACAAAAACGGAAGTGATACTACATGTAGCTGCCACTATGGAATTTACTACAAACGTAGATAAAAATTGTATCGCAAACACTATTTCGTACGTCGGGCTTGTCGTAGTATCCAGAATCTTATCATAGAACGCGAAAGGCAGGGAATGCACCGACACGTTATCAGCGGTGGACTCGTCCAACGTCATTCCTCGGAAGATACTGTAGGAGAACACTCCGCTGTGCACGAAAGTCGCGGCGAATATCGCGATGAAGCGACCGATCCTGGCGTTCTTCAACATCACTTCTCGCTCCTCTATTTTCGTCACGGCTCGCCAATCTGATTCGATATGTTCGATACATCGACGTATGTCGCCGACATGCGTCAGCAACGTGCAGTACTTGAGACTTGCGAGCACCCAATTGCTGAGAGGCCCGAAATCGCGTACCTTTGCCTCCACGTCCTTGGTCTCATCCAGAAAAATAGCCAATGCACAAGGTATTAAAGTACTGGCGATGAGGAAAACGCACACTAGCAGTAGCACCATCGACAGAATCTTTTCCTTGATCGATGATACTGGCCAGATGCTTATTGGCCTCAGGAGCCAACGAATTGGTTGTATGCTATACTCCGTATCCTTTATGTAGTCGAATATGATCGGAAAATTCTGCAGGGAACTCTTCATGTTCGCTTTGCAAGCGCACGGACACGATTGAGCAAATAATCATCCGAAAAAAAACGATGAGTGATAGTCATATAGAGTAACGCGTGCGCATTTTGCCGACTATACTTTCGAATAATACACGCGTCTCTTGGGGAATCGATATTTACGGTGATAGCGTATTGAAGCAATGGTGGGTTTATTACACGATAGACAGCTGATTGCACGCAATAACAGCTGGGTCACGCAAATAATTCACTGTTTTGTTGAAAGAATAATTCTATGGTGCTTTACTTTCTGCATCTTTATTTAAAAGAATGTAATGAACATTTTTTGCGTTATTATTAACAATGTATATTAGTTATATCTTATTTCTCAATTTTTTTATTATTTTAAAATGGCAATCAGAAATTAAATAATATAATTAATTTGCGCTTATATCGAGCGGTCTCAAAAGAAGAAAGTACAATCTAATAAGATATTAAAAAATAATAATGGATGCCAGAGAAAATTTAATAAATTTTCTGATTTTTATCATAGTTTAAGAGAAAATATATTTTTTCATATATTTATTCTTTACATAATATATTTTGCACATTATTTACCCTATTTATCACATAGTCAACGTTCGTAAAAGATTTAAATATACTACAGAAGTTTTAATTACCTGAAACAACAGCGTTCGTTTTTAAATATTTATGCAAATGATAATATTCTAAAGATTATCAAATTTAAAATATTGAGTTAATTGAGCATAATTATTACATGTTTCAAGCTAACACATATTAAGATAGCATACATAATTACATATATATATATATATATATATGTATGTATATGTTATGCAATATATTAATGATTATAATTATACAATATAATCATATTCGATGAAAAAGATATGTAATAACAACTCTGTGAACAGTGAAGCTTGATTTATTTTGATAAACAAAATACTGTTATATATCTAATGAGTATAATAGCTTATAAAATCAAATTAAAAAAATTATTTAATATATTTAATATTAAAATATTAAAGAGTTTTTAGAGTACGTTAAAATATGTTATTGATGCTTTCTAAACCTGGAAGTAAGATTGATGTTACATTTTTATAAAATATTTTATAAAATTATGTGATGTAAGTATAAATTGCATGAATGAATATGACATATTTTTATTCTGCAAAATTTATGCAGTTTTCAGAAAATTGCATATATTATATCTATTCAAAAACTGAAACTTATATTGACAATTTACGTAAATTTTATTTACAATATTTTGTTAGTGTATGACTTGCACCGGAAAATGTGTCCTTATTTAAGATAGAAAAATATTACATAGTAAATTTATTAGATTTCTCTGTTTGTTATTTTATAATAAATTGTCTATATTGCATATTGTTTACTTTTCTCACATTATGATTATGTTATTATTTATGTAATCAATGTTCGAAATATATTTAAATATGCTAATGCAGATTTAATTACCTGAAATAGTTAAAAATTACACATTTAAAAAGAAGTCATCACTCTTTGAAAAAAAAAAAAATATATATATATATAAATGATTTATATATATATAATTTTTTCACACGATTTACATATTTATATATTTCTCTTTGCATCACTCACATCACCGAACGTAATAAATGACAGCTGAACAATGTTCCCAGCAGTAATTTTAAGGGCAGTGTCGGATCTTAAAATTATCAAAACGAGTCCAAGGGCCGTTTTCCCAGGCAAGAGATACCAATTCGTCATATAAGCAGATTTACCAACTTGTCCGCCCTGTTAAAACACATATTAAGATAGCATACATAATTACATATATATATATATATATATATGTATGTATATGTGTGTGTAATTTTATAATTAACAAAACAGCAAAAAACACGATATGTATGTGCATATATGTATATGCGTTACTTACATCACCAAAAGTTACAATAGACAATTGAAATAATTTTCATGCCGTGATCTTGATTACATTACTCGATCGTATAATAATCAAAACGAGATTATGTGCAGTTTTGTGATGTAGTTTATACCAGTTAGTCGTATATGCCATTTCTCCGACGCGCTTGCACTACCAAAATCAATATAAGATATTTTTAAATTTTTTCAGAGTAATAGAAAATTTAATAATTTAAATTAAAAAATAGTATTAGAAAAATGGAACTGTATCAGTATATATATATATATTCAAATATTCAGTTTTATTAAAAATGAAATAATTATGTTATGACTATTTTGTATACCAGATTTAATTACCTGAAATAGTTAAAAATTACACATTTAAAAAGAAGTCATCACTCTTTGAAAAAAAAAAAAATATATATATATATAAATGATTTATATATATATAATTTTTTCACACGATTTACATATTTATATATTTCTCTTTGCATCACTCACATCACCGAACGTAATAAATGACAGCTGAACAATGTTCCCAGCAGTAATTTTAAGGGCAGTGTCGGATCTTAAAATTATCAAAACGAGTCCAAGGGCCGTTTTCCCAGGCAAGAGATACCAATTCGTCATATAAGCAGATTTACCAACTTGTCCGCCCTGTTAAAGGCCGTTTTATATATACCTGTTATAATGCAATTGAAGAGACCCCAACAATTTTTGATTTCAATAAATTTCACAATTATAAACTATATTATAGGCGTAATTGCTTTTTTATTATAGCATAAAATTGTTTATTATTTTCAATTTGAGATATTACCTGCTCAGAAAGGACCTCTCCTATGTAACAAAATATAAAAATATTAAAAGTAACTGAAGTTAATATTATACAATATGAAATAATATTCTGTTTGTTATCTTGTACCCAATCCTAAAAGGAATAATGTTAGAAATATATATAGTCAAATGGATAAATAATAAAGTGAAAATAAGCACTATACATAAATTCCGAAACATATCCATACCATAATGCAATAATATCCTAAAAGACATATGTGCATCGTACATCCGACTAATTCTACAAGACATATTATATTCGTAATTCTTTCTGTACGGGATACAAGTCTGCAAATATAATGTACATCACAATCTACCGTAATTATCTTGTAATAAGTCTTGTTCGATTGTGAATTATGCATAAAATTTGCATTGAAAAAATTTTCTTATATTAATTATTTATTATTACTTTAGAATTAAACTTGTGATCGAGATGCAAAATATCACAAAATATCATGTGTACAACAAAAAGTCAAGAATAATAGCTTACCTCAACACTCTCAGATGATGCTCCACAATGATGGCGAACCTTTGTTTTATAGAATTTTTCTCTTCATTTTGTCCGTCCAGAAGATTGTCTAACCAGGACATTAAAATTTTGAGCTGGCCGCACGCGTGCATCACGAAAACCGCCGCGAGGCCACACGCGGCAACCGTGACGGAATTGACGACAAAGGTCGAGAAGCATTGTAGAAAAAACACGAACTCGTATGCCGGACTGAAATGCGCGTTCAGGATCTTGCTATAGAAGGGATAAGGTAAGGCGCGAACCATCACACTGCTGTTATCCATGTATAAAACGTCTTTGGAAAAAACTCGGGCAACATTGTACGAAAATAGATGCCAGAGAAAATTAATAAATTCTTCTGATTTTTATCATAGTTTAAGAGAATATATTTTTTCATATATTTGTTCTATACAAAATATATTTTGCATATTGTTTATCCTATTTATCACATAGTCATTGTTCGTAAAAGATTTAAATATACTACAGAAGTTTTAATTACCTGAATGCAATAATATCCTAAAAGACATATGTGCATCGTACATCCGACTAATTCTACAAGACATATTATATTCGTAATTCTTTCTGTACGGGATACAAGTCTGCAAATATAATGTACATCACAATCTACCGTAATTATCTTGTAATAAGTCTTGTTCGATTGTGAATTATGCATAAAATTTGCATTGAAAAAATTTTCTTATATTAATTATTTATTATTACTTTAGAATTAAACTTGTGATCGAGATGCAAAATATCACAAAATATCATGTGTACAACAAAAAGTCAAGAATAATAGCTTACCTCAACACTCTCAGATGATGCTCCACAATGATGGCGAACCTTTGTTTTATAGAATTTTTCTCTTCATTTTGTCCGTCCAGAAGATTGTCTAACCAGGACATTAAAATTTTGAGCTGGCCGCACGCGTGCATCACGAAAACCGCCGCGAGGCCACACGCGGCAACCGTGACGGAATTGACGACAAAGGTCGAGAAGCATTGTAGAAAAAACACGAACTCGTATGCCGGACTGAAATGCGCGTTCAGGATCTTGCTATAGAAGGGATAAGGTAAGGCGCGAACCATCACACTGCTGTTATCCATGTATAAAACGTCTTTGGAAAAAACTCGGGCAACATTGTACGAAAAAACACCACTATGCATAAACACGGTGCAGAAGCCGGCGATGAATCTACCTATTTTGGCATTTCTCAGCATTATCTGCCGATCTTCGACTTTTTTAATGAGCCGCCAGTCCGTCTCTACGTGCTTTACGCAGCTGCGTATGTCATCGACATGCATCAAGAGACAGGAATAATTTATCATCGCCATGAACCAGAAGGTGAGCGGCCCGAAGCTACGCAACTTGACTTCGAAGGTCTCCTGCGACTCCAAAAAGATACTTAGACCACTCGGTATCATGATGGCAATTATCAGAAAATAGCATATAAATATCAGAAATTTGGAACGGGCCTTTTCAACGATCGAAATGTTGGTAGATCGTGGCCATAGATTAATAGCTTTGAGAATCCAACGTATTATCTGAATACTATACTCGTTGTCGATCAAGTACGTAGATGCAATGGTGCCAGGATTATTCATGGGGTCGTGCCCCATGATTTTCTGACGAAGGTAGCTAGTTTACTGAGCTACCCCTGCGCTGTCGTACACAGTAGTAACAGTCAACGCGTGCGCAGACAGTGAACGGCACGTAATGCGCAAGGTGGTCTTTACCCATGTATTGTTGTGTATTATTATGGTCATTTGCAACATTGCCGCGGCAACAGGTAGAAACAGTTCGTAATCGATACTTGGTATTGAAGTTTCGTGCATCGTGTATTACAGTTTTGAAAAAGCAGTTATGTTGTAGATCGCATCATCATGATTTATTAAATAAAATAAAATAATTAATTTTATTAACATAATTGTATATAGCAAAATAGCAAAATATATATTGCAAATTTAAAAGAGCAAGCAAAGTATCTAAATTTTATTTTGAGAACAGAGAAGAATATTATATAGTATTCTCCCATAAATATATCATTATTATTTAATTATTTAATAGCTTACTATTCGCTATTTACTTACATGCTCTACTTAATATATTAAAAATTATTAATATTTACGTAATAAGAGTACGAAGTATGTTCAAATATGCTAATGCAGATTTAATTACCTGAAACAGTTATTAGTCATATTGTCGCTATAAAAAATATATTTATTCAGTTAATGATTAACTTTCAAAATAATTAATTTATTTTTAATAGTATTCGTTTTTAAATACTTATGTTACAATGACACTATTCTAAAGATTACCAAATTTAAAATATTGAATTAGTTGATCATAATTATATCACATGTTTCAAGGTAACATACATCAAGATAGCATACATAATTACATATATATATGTGCGTGTGTGTGTGAATGTAATTCTATAATTAACAAAACAGCAAAAAAACACAATTTATTTTCATTGTTTAGTTAACAAGAGATTATTCCGGACACGACATATGTTTATGAGTTACTTACATCACCAAAAGTTGCAATAGACAATTGAAATAATTTTCCCGCCGTGATCTTGATTACATTACTCGATCGTGCAATAATCAAAACGAGATTACGTGCAGTTTTGTAATGTAGTTTATACCAGTTAGTCGTATATGCCATTTCTCCGACGTGCTTGCACTATCAAAATTAATATAAGATGTTTTTAAATTTTTTAAAGTAATGAAAAGTTCAATAATTTAAATTAAAAAATAGTATTAGAAAAATGGATCTGTATCAGTGCATATATAACCGAATATTTAGTTTTATTAAAAATGAAATAATTATATGGCCATTTTGTATACAATAATATAAAAATATTATATATTTTATAACAATTTTGATTATAAATTATGAAACTATTTTGATTCGCATCTATATGTTACCTGTTCTGTAATAATTTCTCCAATATAACAAAATATGAAAATATTGAATCCCATTGATAAATATACGATAACGTAAGATGTTATTTTTGCTGCATCGAATGTTTCCCAAGCCTAAAAGATTAAAATACAGATTTGTATCTGTCGTCTAAAGATAAAATGTATCTATCTTTTCTTTTACCTGTTTTATATTATAAAGAAGTATACTATATATGAGTAACATATAAGGAGTAATATTTAATTTATAATATTTAAGTTCACACGAGTAAATAATAAAATTATTAGTGCGTATAATAAGATATTCATTTTCGTATGTCTCTAGCATACCATAATACAATAATATCCAAGCAAGCACATATTTATCGTGCATCCCATCAATTCCACAAGAGAGACTTTATGCATAATACTCTCCATACGTGATATAAAGCTAAAATATTTATACATATATGGTTATATATAAAATATACTCAAGCAAAGTGCTTTTAAATATATGCTTTTTATTAGTAATAATAATATACCTTAACACTCTTAAATGATGTTTCACTATAGTAGCTAATTTTCGCTCATTGTCAGCTACATGATTTCCTTCCTTTTGGCTCCCAACAAGTTCGTGTAGCCACGTATATAACACATTCAATTGACCACAAGCGTGCATCGCGAAGACAGCAGCCAAACTGCAAGCACCGACAGTAGAGGAACTTACTATAAATGTCGACAGGAACTGTACAACCAGTGCGATTTCGTTCACTGGACTGTATCTCGTATCGATGATCTTGCTATAAATCGGACACGTCATCGGATGCATCGTGAATGTTTCGTTGTTAACAGTGATAGTTGTAGTTTTTATCGCTTTGGCTATGCTGAACAAGAATGTACCTCCTTGCATAATTACGCCGCAGATCCCTGCGATGAAGCGACCAAACTTAGCATGTTGCAGCATCATATCCCGATCTTCGATCCTTCGTATGAGCTTCCAATCAGTTTCCATATGTTGTATGCAATCGCGAATATCATTGCTGCGTGTTAGCAACGTCCAATAATTTACCGAGCCCATAATTCTGTGAATCAGTGGTCCCATCGCGCTCAATTTTAACTTGATATCGTTTTCTTCTAATAACACGTATAACATACATGGTACCATTATGAATGTTATTATAGTTACACAAATAATAATATGTAGTGACACAACAATCTTCCAGACAATGCCTGATGCGTCCGCTTGCGGCCAAGCACCGATGGGCTTGAGAAACCACCGATTTAATTGAAGACTGTAATCATTATTATTTTTAGAATCGGCATTTTTTGGCACAGATTTCGGATTCGTCATGATTACTTCACGGATGCACTTGACGTACTGTCGCAGTGAGCAATGCTTCGGACAATGATTGTGTTCCAATAGGCGCCTGCGCCAACTTCAAGTGAAGTTTAACGAACACTTACATTTATGTATTTTTTGCCTGAGAGGGACAATTGCATGTTCAATCGATAATCGTTTGTGACCGGTGCTTTGTCCTACCAGTTTGATGAAATGCTGCATTATACGAGAAACATGAGGATACTTTCGCGGAAGTGAGTATAAATTTTGTAAAATACTAAGCTTCTTTCAATATTTTAATTTTTAATTTTAAAGCAATCGAAAGTGGACTATCTATTTAATTGTAAAGAAAGTTATTATGTCACAATTATAATATATTAATCTTGCCTGAAAAATATCTATTCTATATGTGTGAAATATATTTTCTAATTTTTTCAAAAAGATACGATATTTTCTTGTACAATATAATAGTTAATTTTTGAAATTTCGAAAGCAAAATATTTTTATATACCGATATGAAATGATATGTATATATATACATTAAAATATATCTCATATAAGAAATTTTGGTATTTTTAATACCAGAATAATCTTTTCTTAACATTGCAAAATGCAACATTGCTGTGCTTTTAAACAATGTTATCATCAAAAGAATTTATATAAGTATAGTATATAATATGATTTATTTTATTTATTATATAATTCTTCTATTGTTCATGTCATTTGTATTCTATACAAAATATATTTACGTTTTCTAAACTTTATTTAGTTTACGTGGGAGGAGTCATCGTTCTTAAAATATTCAAATATACCACAGAAGTCTTAATTACCTGAAACAAGAAGGTCTTCCTTCCTATTTACGATATAGTTAATCGCATTTCAACAATTTTAACATCAAAGCATGAGAGTTAGCATCAAAAATGAGTGAATATCGCTCAATAGCAATAAAAGATCGTAAATGAAGAGAAAGATGTGAAGGAATGTTTTGTAATAATTTATAAATATAAAGTGTAAAAAAATGTATTAAACTTTTATTAATAGAATATCTCATTTATAAGTGCAATATATATGTTTTACTTACATCACCAAAAGTTGCAATAGACAATTGAAATAATTTTCCGGCGGTTATCTTGATAACATTACTTGATCGCGCTATTATCAAAACGAGACCAAGAGCAGTTTTGTGCGGTAAATCATACCAATTGGTCATGTAAGCCTTTTCGCCGACATTTTTGCACTAATAAATAAATATAGATATTTTAAAGCTTTATATATATATTTTTTACATATAAAAAATGGAAGAAATTATAAGAAATATATTAAAAGATAGAAAAAAATTTTAA